TTTGAAGGCCCCACTCAGGTGGTGCAGATTGCAGCCGGTGCAAGCTACACTTTTGCTGTAACAGATGATGGGACAGTTCATTCCTTTGGGTCTTGCACTAATTTCTGCCTTGGACATGGGGATCAGCATGACGAACTTCTTCCTCGTGCAATCCAATCATTTAAGAGGAGGAACATTCATGTAGTCCGTGTTTCTGCTGGAGATGAGCATGCTGTGGCTCTTGATGCACTAGGATACGTAAGTCTATATTGTCCTGTTCACATTCACATATATATTGTTAATAATTGTTCTCCAGGCATAAGTATAAAGTCTGAATCTGAACTTTACAGGTTTATACTTGGGGCAGAGGATATTGTGGAGCCTTAGGTCATGGTGATGAGAATGATAAAACTAGCCCAGAATTGATTGGCAGCTTGAAGGGCCAAGTTGCTGTGCAGGTCTGTTGCACATATTGGCAAGGAAGATATTTAACAAGCACTTTGGAATATAGTTAAATAAAATTGGCATTGCAAATTATTTGTTTTAGAAGTTATCAATTCTTCTATGCAGCAATATGAGATACTAATTTCTTGGTCTAATTAAAGTGCCCTTGCTATTCACACATGTGTTACTTATCAGTTCCATGTCTGAAACCTTTTCTTAATTTTTTTTAGGTATGTGCAAGGAAGAGAAAGACGTTTGTTCTCACGGACGAGGGCTCAGTTGTTGCATTTGGATGGATGGGCTTTGGGAGTTTAGGGTTTCCTGACCGAGGATCATCAGACAAAGTAATGAGGCCCCGTGTTCTTGAGAGCCTGCAGGATCACTACGTCTCCCAAATAAGCACTGGACTGTATCACACTGTTGCAGTGACAAATAAGGGCATTGTATTCGGATTTGGGGACAATGAGCGAGCACAACTTGGGCAGGAGTACATTCGTGGGTGCTTAAAACCTACTGAGATAATGTTCCAAAAGAGCATGGAAGACATACCAATTGCGGCGCCTAGTGGTTGACTTCAAGGCCAAGAGCCCAAGACCACCATTTTGGACACTGTTGCCTGCATATGTTGTATTTATATTGAAATTCTTCTTGGCAAGTGTATTTTATACTTTATGATTTGTGAGTAATTTGGGTGAACGGGGGAAGACGGAAGAGCAAAGTTGGAGGATAGTGTTGTGTAGCCAAAGAAGCATATAGTTTAGTAACGTGTGATGTATCGAATAATTCAACCCACCATTTTTCTTCTGTATAAAATTTATCGGTGTGTTTGTATTTTTTCTTGCCCCTCCATGTTTTCTTGGTTTTGTCCTAACAACTGTTGAGTAAATAGCATTTGCTCCCCTGGAACTTATATTATTGCCTAAGTTTGCTAGTCTCTATCACCTTGATTATCGTCAAATCATCATCACTGTTTTCAATTATGCATATCATTTTATGTGCACCTCTTAGCTGACAAATGGTGCCATACTGTTGGAAATTGCTTGCGTTGGCAGCCGAAATTAAAGATATGTTATTATGCACTGTCTTATCTATCAAATGGTATGCACGTCCTGCACATGCTGCAAGACTATTCTGGATGCGTAACTGTTGCATGAGAATGAGTTGGCATGACATTTGTTTGTCTGAATAGGCATGGCGTTTCAGGTACAGTTGTCATAGAAGGACGTGTTTTGCTCAAACTGTGGAAGCACTACGACTTCATGATCATGTGCAACCAGACCCAAAGATTTTTTAAAGAAAACAGGAGGAACACCGATACCATTACCATGCATGACTCCATGGCATACAAGATATGTTATATTGGGTCTAATCTTCTTTCACATCTAGGATTCTATTTCTATCTTTATTTCTAATAAAGCTTGTATTCGATTCAGTTATCCCTAACCATACATATCTTTACTTGTAACGCCATCTATTGGCCTATTTGCTCCAAGAGGGAAATGCACCTTTTTACATAGTCTACCCTAAATCATGCTTTGACCCACCCCCGTTGAGCGAAGGCTTTTTTACTTGTAACCACTAGTCCATCACGTGCGCCTTTGCGCGCGCCAGCGATTAAACGGAAATCAAACTGTGCAGGTAACGATGTTTATACCTTGAAATTGATGAGATACTAAAATCTAGATTTTCCTGTCTTCCACAAATAAGATGTTCAACTCAAGCAATTCCCATGGGAACAGAAACACTGGATGAAACAAAATCTACATATTCAGAGAAAACAAATGATGGGCAACCTACTGGCCTTGTCCTCAATTCACTTTATGAAACATAGATTTTTTTTTCAAGGAGATGCACAGTAGCCTCATAAGTGGCCTGCATAAGATTCATGAAAACATATTCCAGTTTTCAGAATTAAGAATATATGATTTTTACTATTTTCATAAATAGAGGCAGGCAGGCTAGTTCATTCATTGAGAATACATAGTGAGGTACTTACGATAGTTTTTATGGTCATACTCCTAGATTAATTAGAAAAGGCACTGAACTAAGCAAAAACATATATGTATTCTGAGTTGAAATAGCTTCCATAGAAAAAACAAATGAATATCTCCGTAAGGTAGGAATTAACTGAATATATTTGTTTTCTTAGGCGTATCTAATTTGGAATTGAATGATGTAAGAGAGACATGGAAAAGCAGCGATGACTTGAGCAGGTTTTTTAACCCATATATTCACAGTAAGTTAGCAATACATACCTAAATTATGGGAATAAAGTTAGGAAAACAAGAAGCCAGCCCAACACATATTAGTTGCCATTTAAGCGGTGTTGACAACCACTTAGAATTACGAACTCCGAAATCTCCACTGCTCATACCTTTAAGATATAGCAACCAGAAAATGCCATGGCACTCAATCATGCTAAACACGATCTGTAGAGGGAAGAACAATAGTTGTAGGTAATGAGACTACTGGGTGAAAGCCAATTCACTTTTAGAAGAGGAAACCAGAAGTAAGGAAAACCTGTTTTGAACGAAAAGAATATCTAACCTCAACCATAATAAAGACCTGATTTGAACATGATAGTAACGCGTCGGATCTCATACTGTGCATATGGTGTTGGAGAGGCAACATCAAATTTGATCTGAGCATAATAAACTATCAGTATGCCGCAACATAACATAGATGTCGTAGTGTCTAATTAGATGAGTCTTGCGATATGATAAGAAAACTAAGTACCTCATAAAGATAACATGATCAAATGGGGATGTACCAGAAATATTTTAGTTTAAAGGTTGCCATCTCAATAGAAGCAGTGGATGCCATTGGCCTCTCTGTAACTATTGGGAAAGACAGACCATAATCAGAGAAGGTAAACAATGACCTGATTAATGACGAATCAAAATCAATACTGCATCAATAAATGCAACCAGCGATGTTGTGGAAAATGAGCACAACAGTCGAGAGAAACTTTCAAATTAATAACCTCATTAACGCCCGCTCTTGTATCTCAGGACATGAAACACATAATTTGATGCAATTATTTCTTAAACAAAGATAGCTCCACTGCAATGTGGCTACAGGCAATACATTAACCAAAACCATGTAACATCACTAATTAAAGAAAACATGTCCAATATCCAAGCATTAATCTTGCCGGAGCAGCAGCAGCAGATGGTCACTAAATTGCAAGAGGTAAATGGCAAGTAGCATCAGCCATCTACACACAAAAAAACTGTCAAGCAAACGAAGAGGTAGATGGCACTATGGCAGACTCACCAGGGCGTTTAGTGATTTACCCCCAAATGAAGTGCCGATGCAGCTAGAAAAAATAAATGAAATACATATTGATGGAACCGGTACATAGATGTACCAAATCGACCAAGCTAGTATCAGATCTTACCAATAAGATAGTCGTAGGGACCGTGGGACAGCGACTTGAACCTGGTTGGATATGACAAGCTCATTTTCCAATAGATGTGCAAAAATCATTGATTTTCAGTAATGCATAAAGGGCGAGCAATACAAAAAAAGCACCGTAAGGAAAGTAGTCGTGCCTACCAACAAAATTGTGGATCCTCAATAATCACAATGTGTAGTTGCATGTTCCTCGGTACGTATCCATGTATCCAAGTCAAGGAAAAAGGGTGTACCCAGTGCAGAAGATTGAGAGACCGGATCTAGATCTGAATCTGAAAGAGAGAAGAAGGCAAGATATTTTTGCTACTGTTAACCATTGGGAGGGTGACACGTGGAGCTACAGTAAACAACCGGGAGAGTAAATATGGACACTAAAGCTGCGATCACCGGAGGACCAACGTCGACCTATCGAGGTCGAGTGACGCTGCCGGCGCACCTAGACAGTCCTCTCTCATCGTGTGTCCGGCGCGGCCCTCCCCCATGCCACCGTCGTCCATGGCTCCCGAGGCTTCACTTTTGGTGCTCTACACAGATCCGGTGGGGAAAGACCGGATCCGGCCATGGAGGCTCCGGATCAACCCTAGCAAAGAAGGCCGACAAGCACAGATCAACGCTGCACCCTGGCACCGGCGAGGGAAAGGGAGGACAGTAAGGTAAGGAGGCCACCTTCACCTATGTCTTCTGGCGCCAGAGCCGACGAGCGCGGGGGCCCATGGCTGAGCTGCCGCGTGGGGCCTAGCCACGCCGGGGAGGTAGCGCCGATCCCGCACGGCCGCGCCGAGGGGCGGGCCAGGCCCGCGCCGCCTCGCCGGGGGTGGCGCCGCTGGCCCCGCGCCACCGCGCCTGCGCTGCCCCAGGAAGAGGGAGAGGGAGGGAGGAAGGAAAGAGCAGATGTAGGGCTGAGGAGAGAGGAGCGAAGGCAGTGCCGTCGCGGGTGACGTTGGTGACGAGGGGGTGAACGAGGATGAGGACGGGCACAGTCAAGAGATGGAGAGTAAATGTACGAAGGCTCCAGACCACACAAAACAGAATAGTAGCTAAAACGAGATCAGAACGTCGAAGCGGCGATCCAATGGGACAAAATCAATTTACTACCGTGGCTATCCTGAGCGACGGATGAGGTAAACTGCCTTAATATATTAGAATACAATGTATGCCTTCTACATATCTTCGATGACAACGCGAAGGCTTCCCGGATGCTTGCTGATGGCCTCCTTGAGCGCAGCCTTCAGGCTTGTCTCGTCCCACCTCCGTTGCTCCTCCACTAGTGGTCTCTTAAGGTCGGCGCAAAGGAACAACCTGGAAATGTAGCCCTCGCGCTCGTAAACATGTACCTTAAACTCCACGAGGCTACCAAGATGCTGGATGCCGTCAAGCACACCATCGGCTTGCCGCGCCCCTTTCGCATAGCAATCTATAACCAGGCTCCGAAGCCTCGGCATGGTTCCCGCCTCGAACACAAGGCAAGGCGCCTCCCATCGGAACCACAACTCCCGGAGATTTGGGAACGCCACGCGGTGGAAAACCACGAAGCCTTCTTGGGGCACACGCTCCTCGACGTGAAGTCTGAGGTGCACCAGCAAGGTGAGCCTGGCGAGAACGACAATGCCATCGCTTGGCAGCGACCGGACCTCGATCTCCAAGCTGCCGAGGTTATGAAGGTGGGTGATCCAATCAGCTGGGATGGTAGAGAAGATGCATTCCAGCACATGTAGACGGCGGAGATGTCGCGGAGGCGGCGACCAACGAGCCAAGACATCTTCTTCGAGGCCTCCACTGCGGACGACTATGGACCGAAGGTTGACGAGTTTGCAGAGGGAAGAGAGTAGAACTTCACTAGTGTCTCCCACACCATATGAACACTGAAATAGCTTTAGCTCCCTGAGATTAGTCAGCTCGCCGAGCTCCTTCATTCTCCCCACATCTCTGAGTTCTATTTCGAACTCACTTAATGTACGGAGGTTTGTCAAATGGCCGATCCCACCTGCCAGCTTCACAATAGCCGGAAGATTCAGATGCCACAACGTCGAGGGTAACATCTGAGCATCCAGAACGAAATAACCATCTTCTCTGGCCACCTCCAGTGTCTTCAGTTGTTCTAGCTTGCGCAGTTGTGTTAGCAGTTTCTTATTACTGCCAATTCCGTTGGTTCTCAGATATCTCAGTTGGAACAAACTGTGTATACAGGACATGTCGTACCGCCTATCCATGGAACCATTGATATCAAGATTTAAAACTCGCAGAAGTCGAAATTTTGTCAGAGAAGGCAGCCATTGGGCAGGCCCGCAGAAGTTAAATGACCTAGCCTGGGTCAGAGCCATGTTCTCCAGAACGCCATTTCTTTCTGATGAGTGCTTGACATGAAGGGATAGCCGACGAACATCCAAAGGGCCTTTTGTGCTTTGTTGGTCATTAACTATAGTGACGAAGTTATGGTCTGTGCACTTGATTATGATATAGTCAAGCAATAGATCATGCACTCGACAAGAAAATACTTCCCCGCAGTCATCGAACTCAGCTATTTGAATCATATTTCTGTTAATTAGTTCATTGAAGTAACTCTCTGCAATCTCCTCTTGGATGTCACCATGCTTTTCAGTAACAAAACCCTCAGCTATCCATCGCCTCAACAAATCATCCTTAACTATTTTGCAATCTTCTGGGAAAATTCCAAGATATAGCATGCATGTCTTGAGTTCTAGAGATAAATCATTGTAGCCAAGATTAAACACATGTCTCAGCCATTCAAAAGCCGGGCTTCTTTCCATCTGGAAACGAAAGGAATGCACTATCTTCTCCCAGATTTCCGTCGAACCAACATCCTGATGATTCGCCAAAATGCTGCCTATGGTAAGTATTGCTAGTGGCAACCCTCCACATTTCTTTAAAATTTCATTGGAAACACATTTTAGATGCTGCGGACAACCATCTTCTGAATGAAAAATCCTTTTGTGAAATAATATCCTTGAGTCAACATCATTAAGAGGTTCCATCCTGTAGACATAGCCATGGAAGCTAGAACTGCATGACTTAGCTGTATCTTCAATACGTGTAGTTGTTATAACCCTACTACCACAATTATTCTCCACAAAACAGCACTTGATAGTGTTCCATGCTTCTATTGTCCACATATCATCAATAACAATAAGGTACCTGCCAGGAAAAAAAAATGAAATTCATCACACATATATTACATAAAAATACAGCTCACAATTATCTAACAGTAAATGTTAATAAGAGCTTGATTAAGCATTTGAAGCAGCTAAAATCCCTCAACAAATTTAGACCACATTTAATTGGCTCGATTAGACAAAAGGGAAAAGTTTAAGTGCAATTTTGCCAACACATTGTGGTTTAGAGAGAAATAAATACTGAATGCATAAATCTTCCCACAAGCAGAAATGTACAAAATCAAATGTATATATAATCTGTATCAAGACAGCATATTGTGCTAGTTCAATATGAAGATTGTGTACAGGTAAGTCCAAGAAATTTGAAAATTGTGCAAGCAGGTAACCAAACTTGGCTATTTCGGTCCATTTCTAGTCGATCCATCGCCATAATTTTTATTTTGAGCAACATTAACGCGCCATGGGGCTGGGGGCGCACATCAGGTATCAGGTATTAACGGTACAAATATGATTTTGCCATTTTAGTAGTAAAAAGAAATACAATGTGGTCATATAAATTACCATACTTTTTATTGCATTGGTTGTCTATTTTTCATATAATCCAGAGGCTCACAAACATGCACACAAAGTCTACCCTTATGACTGTGATCATCTCCGAAAGACTAAGCCAATAAATTAAGTGCCTCTATGTCGATGGGCACGCCTAATACTACTCAAAGAATGGTGCTGCTAAATCCTAGATTTTAATTAAAAATACAAGCACACGTGTCAAATCGAGAATTTAAGCACAAGTGGTCAATTTATATTACAAGTAACCTAACCGACCGAGCTTAGTGAAGGCCAAAAGAAAAATGCTACTCTTAGTTCATACTGTTTAGTGCATGTCAATCAAATAATATGAACTCTTCCTATCACAGATGTAAGATGTTTTGGTCATCTACATGGTCCATAAGTTGAGACTTTGACTCAACAACTATTTTGACAAGAAAATTTACATATTGACAGAAGTAAACTTCATCAGTGGTCCTTGACCTGTCCCGCATTCTTATTTAGGTCATGGTCTCTCAAAATGCATTTTCGCACACTAAGATCGCTAACAATACCACATGAAGTCCAATTTTTTAAATTTTTTGACAAATTGCTCACGTGACATTCTGAATTATGAGATGGCGTGGCCCTAACATTTGAGGGGCCAACGTGCTAGTCTAATATCTTCACATAGGCTGTCTCTAACGTGAGACCCATCAGGAATCCAAACCTAAAATGGGTCTCCAAAAAAATACATATAGCCTCCAACAGAGTACCTATATGAAAGACCTATTTTGGGTATCAAAAGAGATATAATCGAAATCTGAGTATCCTCTCTCCTAGAGGCCCATTCGTAAAAAGGGTTCTCTTTTAGATCTTGTTGTTGAAGAAGATAAAAATAAGTATTAAACCTTTTACTTGTAACGCTACACAAACGTAGAATAGATCTTATATTTTGGGTAACGGTTGTTGGAGACCGTCTTATCCACCCTCTTCGTATCTGTCACCCCTTTCCCCACTAACAATGGCTCCGGCCGGCCGGTGCATGCTGCTAGCCTACCGCGGCGCGGTATCAATACTGCCAAAATCCGGCCGGTAAGATCTGTCCTCGGCCACGTTTTACTGCTGCCTCTGCCACTGCCACTGCCACGCACCCGATCAGCAGTCACCCACCACGAATACGATCGATCGTACAGCTGCATTGCGTGCGTGGGCCTGCCTGCCCGCCTGCCGCGTTTTTTTCCTGCCGCGAATGATGATACGGTCAAGATTCAACATCTTCACTGTCACTCCGAGATCACGAAGACGTAGGAGGCTACTGTCGAGAGTTACGATACCTGACTATCTCAAAACACTGATTAGTTAGCCGCTCAGCGGCTTGCACCGGCCCAACTAGCAGAGGCCTAGCAATCACAATTCACCTAAACTACAAAGACCCCGGGCCAAGTGCCGAGCCACATGGTCCAAGAGGGGCCTGAGATGGGGAAGGCACTGGAAGTGGGTACCATTGCATTGCCATTGTGAGGGCGACATCATCATATGGTCAGCATGCCTCACAGGGGGTTTATCGCAAAATCTGAAGACTTGTGTGCTACAATTAGCGAGTTTAGCATGACAAAATTGTATTTTGAGAGTATATCAAGACCAAAATGAGAATGCTAGATCGAGCTTCATACTGCACTTCTCCGCACTATACTTGTCTCGCATGAGACTGTAAGATCTTTCTTTTTTCTTTGATTATTAAGTGTGATTTTTCTAAAATACTGTGATCAGTATAGGTACAAAAACACTGTTGGGGGAGGCCTCCCCGGCACCGCTCCTCCCCCAGCGCTCCGCCCTTCTTTTAGTTAGACTAAACCACCTCGCAGTGGGTGCTAACCCTCGCGGCGAGGGTTCCGGTGTACCATGTTTCATCCGTGTGTCCAAGTACCATGCGTGAAGGCCCGCATCGCGGGAGGAGTACGGAAGAAAGGAGAGCAAGCTGGCGAGGCCGAGTCGACTCTCGGCCGGAACGCGCGAAGGTCTAGTGCCCGCCGCAGGGGGAAACCGACTTGGCGGCGGCAGCGGTTCCATCAAGGTGGTTAGGGTAGAGAGTAGTTGGCCAAGGGAGGGAGATTACCGCCGTACCCTTGGCCGTTATGTAGAAGTCGCTCCGTCGGGCTTGGCCCTAATGTAAATTTATCGCGCCTCTGGGTATTACCTATAAATACCTGGAGCGTTCGCGTAAGAGCAGAGGCCGGTGATCCCGGGCAAATTAATGAGTATTTAATCCGTATTTTCCATCGCCCTATGGACCATTACCTTCGCTCACTCTCACACGTTTGCTTGAGCACACTCCTAGGAAACCCTCGGCCTCTCCCGCGTGTTCAATTACGAGGGCGAGAGGCCAGGAGTGACCCCACAAACACACAAGGCAGAGGCAGATCTTTTGCTTTGTTGTTAAAAGAATAGCATAGCCGTATGAGCAACAGAGCGCAGTAGTACCTTACGTTTTGAAGACGTCGACGGAGCCGACTGATGAGTTCGTTCTCATCATCTTGGCTTGTAGAATACCACCCAGACTGTTGGATTATATCTGACAAGATTTTGGCGAAATCTGGGATTCGGGACACCGATACAAAAGCGGTGCAGTCAAACTTGCCTTGGATGGCAGTGTAAACCTGGTTGGCGAGAGTTGTCTTGCCAATCCCTCCGGTCCCCAGGATGGACACCACCTTCAGCTGGGGTGCACCATCCTGGAGCTCCTCCACGACCTTCTCCCTGTGGCCGCCGATGCCTTGAAGGCTGGCAGGGTCTTGGTACAGCGCCCGTATCCTAGGGTCGACGCACACAGCGCGAGGACGCTCGGGCAGCTGGAGGATCAGCTTGTGTCGATTGCCTAGTTGCGCCACTCGAGCCTTGAGCGCACTGATCAGCTTGGCGATCTCACAGCGCGCTCTGAGCGACTTGAGCTCGCGCAGAAACCCGGCCTTACTAGGGTCGCCGAGGCGGTGCATGGAGATGTCCAGGCAGTCCTCCATGTCGTAGGCCAGCTCACGCACCTTGGCACGCAGCTCCCTATGCAGATCGTCGATTGGTTCCTCCATCTGAGACAGCTCCATGAGGGAAGCGTTGATGGTGCTCATCTCGTCTCTCAGGGAGACGATGTCCTCCTTCACACCTCTAGCCAGCTTGAAGTCCTTCTCCGGCAAGCCGGCGAGCTTGGAGAGGACCGATCCCATTGCCCCTGAGAAGGCGCTCACCATTGCCGCCTCCATTGTTGCCTTGCTGGTGTGGCTGTATCAAGAGTTTAGTTTTGAGCTAGTATAGGCTCAAGTGATGCAACCAGACGCAAGTGGGCTGTGGGCATTTGCACTTACCTGCTAATGACGTCCTTATATAGGAGTATTCTGGAAAACGAGGTTGCCACGTCCTACTGCACTACCCGTGTGATCCTTTGTTGGCCTGTGGCTTGTGGCAGACAATGACTTGACCTGTGCTTAGAACCTGTTTGGCACGACTCTCACTCTAGCTCTGGCAGTAGTTTCTGCGAAGAAGGCGGAGTCTTATCAAACATCTTAGGAGGTGAGAGCTATTTTTATGCCAAGAGTGAGAGCCACGAAAGGCGGCTTCTCATAAAGTGTTCCGGCTCTTTCGGACTGAGCATTTAAGCGTCTCTCAAATAGGAAGAATTCTATTGGTTAGTTAGAAGAAAAAGATTAAATAATTAGTTTTGTTGAAAATTGCGAACGAACGCTTTTGAGTCTAATTAGCTAGTTGAACACTAATTACCAAATAAAAACGAAATTGCTACAGTAGAGCTCTCGTAAACAACTCTCTAGGAAGAATTCTATTGGTTAGAAGAAGAAAGATCAAATAGTTAGCTTACATGACTCTCCAACTCCTCACAGCTTACATGTTTATTTTTATTATTTCTAAATCTCTCTTCTAGCTACTATTTGTATTTTGTCATTGAGGACGCCTAGGACCTCTGCCGAACATATCCTTAGCCGAATCATATGCGTTCACACAATTGCTGGCTTTCGGTGCCACTGATCTGAATAAAGTTCTGGCTCACTGCTCCAGTGTACATGTCGCTTTGGCACCGAGAGGGATGCACAGATGCCCCATCAACGAAGCTGCCCTGGCCCTGGCCCTGGTTCCCACACATGTACAGTCATAGGGACAGAACCCATAGCACGCAGCATGGGAGTCGTCAGTCGGCAAAAGGAAAAGCGAAAGAATCACTAGGGCCATGTTTAATTCACCTGAATCGGCGCCGTCGAAAATACAGTAGTATTTTGTTTTTATTTGGTAACAATTATTTAATCGTTGACTAATTAGGCTCAAAACGTTCGTCTCGCAAAGTACAACCAAACTGTGCAATTAGTTTTTGATTTCGTCAACATTTAGTACTCCATACATGTACCACAAATTTAATATGACAAAGAATCTTCGTTTTGCGTAGTATCAAAGTTGAAAATTTAGGAGGAACTAAACACACCCCAGGCCACCCACCCGTGACCGTGACTGTCTCGGCATCTGCCGGGAAGTTGCCTCGATCTTACTGATTAGCCGCGTGTATTCATGCGGGCTAGTTTTCACGAAGACAGCATATGTGGCGTTCGTTCCGGAAATTCAGATAGTATAAGCTCAAATGATACCGCAAATTCAGATTGGCAATCGTTCGTCCCGGAACGAAACGCTCCACTCGGCCTGGCGGTCTCCCACGTTATTACCCGGTTTGAAGCAAACGACGATCGTTGTGTATATCCATGAAGTTTTCACATTTTTCTCCTTTTATTTTTATCTTCTTTTTTCTCTCTTTATTTTTCATATTGACCTACCGATTTTTCTTCAATCATAAAAAAGTTATCATGATATAAAATTATGCCAAACACTGTATCAAAAACGTTATAATAAAAAGTTATAGTTATAAGTTTCGTCCTGTAAAATGCATTACACAAAAGTTATGAACATAACTTTGTAATTTTTTTAAAAAAATCATGAAAGTAATCTTTCTCAAAAAAGTAAAGTCATGTCTCATCTAATTATTCATTGATTTTTTTGTCTCTAAGGCACCGCTTTGGATGCGAATTTTTTAGCGAAAATGCTATTATAGCATTTTCGTTGTTATTTGGCAAATAGTGTTCAATCATAGTCTAATTAGACTTAAAAGATTCGCCTCGTGAATTTTGTCTAAACTGTATAATTAATTTTATTTTTTATTTATATTTAATGCTTCATACATACATCCAAAAAGATTTAATGTGATGAAAATCTTAAAAATTTTAGTATTTTAGTATTTTAAGTGTTTGGTGACCAGTGGGGTTCAAGGCCACACACCTGCGGTAAGTTACATTATTGTGTTTTGGTGCCACTACCAGTGACCCCCCTGCATTTGGTTCTTCTTTGTCAGTGACTTTATGCTTAGGGGTGTTTGGTTCCAGGGACTAATTTTTAGTCCTGGTACACTAATTTAGAGTACTAAATATATTCTAATTACAAAACTAATTACACAGATGGAGACTAATTTACGAGACGAATCTATTAAGCCTAATTAATCCATCATTAGAGTATATTTCTTGTAGCACCACATTGTCAAATCATGCACTAATTAGGCTTAATAGATTCGTGTCGCAAATTAGTCTCCATCTATGTAATTAGTTTTGTAATTAAAATATATTTAATACTCCAAATTAGTGTCCAAACATCCGATATGATAGGAACTAAAAAATAGTCCCTGGAACCAAACACCCCCTTAGTCACATGGGTTCCCACCTGTGCTTTGGGGTGTCATGGATGTGCCGCAGAGAATGCGATTCTCATATTTTATTTTCATGTGTAACTAAGTCCGTGTTTAGTTCGCGAAAAGTTTTCCAAAAAGTGCTACAGTATCTATCACATCGAATCTTGCGATACTTGTATGGAGCATTAAATGTAGACGAAAAAAAAACTAATTGCAGTATTTTTTGGAAATTGCAGACAAACGTTTTTGAGCCTAATTAGTCCATGATTGACACCAATTGTCAAATAAAAATGAAAATACTACAGAGCTAAATTTCAACTGTGCCTAAACAGTTATTGCACCCACAAAACTATATACGATATTTTTTATCATGCATGTATATGACACTTCTTTTTAGAACACTGTGCTAGAGATTGTAGGTGCTAGAGTTATATTCTTTTAAGACAATGTTTAGGGCATGTTTGATCCCATGGCTAAAAATTAGCACATCTTGTGAAAAATGGATTAAACATAAGGTAATTATGGGCTAATAAGGGCTAATGGACTCTAACCACCAATTAACCCTCATTAGTTCTTATTAGCCTAGAGTTAGCCTACATTTAGGCTTTCTAATCGGTATCAAGAACATGGGCTCATTATTAGCTCTCTAATTCAAACACCCCCTTAAATGCTAGAAGTTTATTTTTCTCGTGATATAGGAGTTATTTGAAGACGCCCTTACTATCAGTAACATCATCAAATAAAGTCTTGGACTCATTGGTCTCCACTACGAGATCGCGGCCATCACGGGTAATATAACAACTGTCTCAACCTAAAGCTATGTTTCATGTAGATGCCATCACGGGTACCATAAATTTGATATGACGGAGAATTTTCTTTTTGTATAGTATCAAAGTTGAAAATTTAGGAGGAACTAAACACACCCCAGGCCACCCACCCGTGACCGTGACTGTCTCGGCATCTGCCGGGAAGTTGCCTCGATCTTACTGATTAGCCGCGTGTATTCATGCGGGCTAGTTTTCACGAAGACAGCATATGTGGCGTTCGTTCCGGAAATTCAGATAGTATAAGCTCAAATGATACCGCAAATTCAGATTGGCAATCGTTCGTCCCGGAACGAAACGCTCCACTCGGCCTGGCGGTCTCCCACGTTATTACCCGGTTTGAAGCAAACGACGATCGTTGTGTATATCCATGAAGTTTTCACATTTTTCTCCTTTTATTTTTATCTTCTTTTTTCTCTCTTTATTTTTCATATTGACCTACCGATTTTTCTTCAATCATAAAAAAGTTATCATGATATAAAATTATGCCAAACACTGTATCAAAAACGTTATAATAAAAAGTTATAGTTATAAGTTTCGTCCTGTAAAATGCATTACACAAAAGTTATGAACATAACTTTGTAATTTTTTTAAAAAAAAATCATGAAAGTAATCTTTCTCAAAAAAGTAAAGTCATGTCTCATCTAATTATTCATTGATTTTTTTGTCTAAGGCACCGTTTGGATGCCGAATTTTTTAGCGAAATGCTATTATAGCATTTTCGTTGTTATTTGGCAAATAGTGTTCAATCATAGTCTAATTAGACTTAAAAGATTCGTCTCGTGAATTTTGTCTAAACTGTATAATTAATTTTATTTTTTATTTATATTTAATGCTTCATACATACATCCAAAGATTTAATGTGACAGAAAATCTTAAAAATTTTAGTATTTTAGAGTGGAACTGAACAGGCCCGCCAAGTGTTTGGTGACCAGTGGGGTTCAAGTGATACACACCTGCGGTAAGTTACATTATTGCGCGAATTGAGCTAGCCACTAGCCTGACGTGACCCCGTACGGTGATTCTTTGTGTCAGACAATGACTTTATGCTTAGGGGGTGTTTGGTTCCAGGGACTAATTTTTAGTCCCTGTCACATCGGATGTTTGGACACTAATTTAGAGTACTAAATATATTCTAATTACAAAACTAATTACACAGATGGAGACTAATTTACGAGACGAATCTATTAAGCCTAATTAATCCATCATTAGAGTATATTTACTGTAGCACCACATTGTCAAATCATGCACTAATTAGGCTTAATAGATTCGTCTCGCAAATTAGTCTCCATCTATGTAATTAGTTTTGTAATTAAAATATATTTAATACTCCAAATTAGTGTCCAAACATCCGATATGATAGGAACTAAAAAATAGTCCCTGGAACCAAACACCCCCTTAGTCACATGGGTTCCCACCTGTGCTTTGGGGTGTCATGGATGTGCCGCAGAGAATGCGATTCTCATATTTTATTTTCATGTGTAACTAAGTCCGTGTTTAGTTCGCGAAAAGTTTTCCAAAAAGTGCTACAGTATCTATCACATCGAATCTTGCGATACTTGTATGGAGCATTAAATGTAGACGAAAAAAAAACTAATTGCACAGTTTGGTTGGAAATTGCGAGACAAACGTTTTGAGCCTAATTAGTCCATGATTGGACACCAATTGTCAAATAAAAATGAAAATACTACAGTAGCTAAATTTC